CTATGTCCGTCCAAATAATGTCCGTCCGTTTAAGGTCCGTCCAAATTAAAGTCTGTTGATATTTTCAAAAATTATTCCACTTACTGTCTAGGATATGACAACTTTTAAATTTCAGTTAATTTCAAGTTCTATCATCGGACTAAACTATATCATTGAATCAATGAATAACAAGTTATTATAAAATTTAAATATTCTAAATATCATATTATGGCACTTCTGCACTTTCTTAATTTACAGTTTAGTTACTATTAATCTACCTCTACATCTTGTAGATCTCTTACAACTGGTTGTTTATCCAACTCGTAGCTGTACCGGGTAATGAGCGATATCAACTGCTCTACCAGAGATACTAGAATGCCTGAAGTACAACTTGAGCTTTATCTGTAGGCAGTAGACCCCACTTGACATAAGCTACCTTCGGTGGTTCATGTCAACGACGATACCTTCTACCATACCAACCATCTTGATGATATAGAATTCGAAAACCGGGATATCTTCCGAGGGATATGGCCGACGTACCTTCATACCTCATCTGCACAGCATTTAACATTTTTAATGCCTAACAACTGCTTTTCTTACTTGCTGTATGAAAAATTGAATTAAAAATTATCTGTTAAAATTGAAAAAAAGATGGATAAATTCGGATTTTTAATGATTTTGAACCACTTCGAGCGTTCATCTTAATGTCCGTTCAACATTATGTCCGTTCACATAATGTCCGTTCAAATAAAGTCCGATAAGGTATTTACAACTGAATATAAAATGACCGAATACTATACTATTACTCATGACTTATGGCCGCAAATATTAACAACAAAACAGTTTTGGTTTTGGGTTTACTTTTAACGACGAATATAATATCACATGAGTAGATAAAAAGTATAAATTTCAGTAATTCGAAGCAGATTTTAATTCACGACCATTATGCTTCACGTTAAATTACTTAATTAGATTACAGTGCCTCTTGACGCATGATCCATTGTTTCAATGACTTTAGTACAGTGTCACCTGTCACAAATCCACAAGATAACATAAGTTTTTACCTAACATTTTAAAAGACGGGATTTACCTTTAAATAACACACCATTTTTAAATCTTTCCAGTTTCATAACCAGTCACTTTCTTTTTGTCCAAATTCTCCGTAATCCATTGCCGATATTTCTGCTTACTTCATTTGTCATCACTTGCTCGGAAAATGTCATGGCCATGTGAGATATGGAACACGACTCAAGTGCAGACAAGAAGATTGGAGTCTTTCCATCAATACTGCTTAAGAAGAATCCTGAGAGTGAGGTGGTTCCATCGAGTAAGTAATGAGGATGTTTTCAGAAGGGCATCAATAACTGCCCTTGCTGACATAATAACAACAAAACGGCTGCGTTGGTTTGGACATGTCAGTAGAATGCCTGAAGATCGGTTGCCCAACTATTTACTTGAATGGAAACCCAAGCATGGGAAGAGATCAAGAGGCAGGCCTAGGAAGAGCTTAAATGATGTATTCATTGAGAATGCTGAGCAGAGATTGGATCGTAATGGACTCACGATTGATTGTATGAGAAGATTAGCTGCAGACCGAAAGGGATGGAGAAACGTTACCCGCCGAAGTTTTATAATACAAAGTAATGACGCAGTCGACGCAGACTAATCCTTTTGGATGGAGATCTCGCCATGTATGTAACATAAAATCTGAACAAGGGGCGAAAAGGGAATTTTTTGGCCTCATTTGGCCTATCCTGTCTAACTGCAGTCTAACTGCACGATAGTTGCCCTTTGTAGTTTAAATTTACATTCCTTGTTTTTCCCATATTTTTTGCCTAATCTTACAGTTCTGTTGGTGAATCGGTAGATTTGCTGCAGCACATTGTGGGACATTCTGCAAAGATGATGTAAGTTAATTGTATTTGTAAGCTAGATTTCAGTTCTGGAAGCAAATTTCCTGAAATTTTTTCGAGAGAATACAATATGCATCCCTTTTTCGAACTACACTTATTTCGCAAGAGCTGCTTGCAGGCCCTAATATGCATTTAAAATCATATCATTTGAAACTGTGTTTGAAAATGATCTCTATTGCCAAATTGCTCAGCTAGGCCTTTTGCACGTGCAAAATCATCAAAAACGATTTCGCCATACTTAGTATCCATCTGCCAAAAAAATTTGGACAAGATGCAGCCTTCACTTAGGCCATCCTGCCATAAACTTAAAACTTTCTACAGGCATGGTTGACACTGACGTTTTGCTGTTTTTGAAATTCAGGCTGTGGCCAAAGCGCATGCTAAATTTGAAAAACTCTAAGATTTGGGCCCCCTCATGAAGAAAACCATTCCTACACCCCTGGATCACGATGATCAATCTACACCTAGGTATATGTTTAGTTCTTGAGGCCAAACTATGCGCTGAGTAAAATTACCTTTTCTAAAGAAATAACTAGATATTCGGCTATCTAGATCGTGTACATTTTTATTTGTCGGTGTCCGCAGTCCAGTGATAGGATTCTGCGACGACTTATTTCTCGTTGATAATTTTATTTTAAAGTGTTGTATCTGCTTTCATTTTCCCCACAATTTCCTAAAACAAAATCACCAAAAAGGAAAGTTTGGCTACCATGGAAAAAGCTCCGTGCTACACAACGTCTGCTAACTCTACTGAGTATTTCTACCTGTTCAAGAACACCTTCCAAGTTATAGCCCCTATAAACATTGTTCTGAGTGTCCTGATCTTCTTCTGGAACAGTCTGGTTATATCCTATTTCTACAAGAACTGTCAGAAGGTAACATGTGCTCTATTCTTTCTCATCGGAGTATCTGACGTTACAACGGCTATGGGACACTTGGTCTTTGACATGGCAGCTCTCATTTATTTTACTAGAGGAGAGAGTGCTACCTCTGATTCTACCATGACGTTCTGCTATGTCCTGTACAGGTTTGTAGCCCTAATTGGATACACTTCCGCTATTTTCTTAAACGCAATGTTAGCTGTGATTAGGACCATCAAGATAGTTGATCCGTTCAGGCTCACCAACATTGTGGCTGTTAAAGTGTTAGGGGCGATGTGGGGGTTGTTTCTTCTTACTGTCACTCAGTTTGACTGTGCAGTTATTTCCAGAAAAGGCTGGGGTGTGATTCTGAAGATGAGATTCGGAGAAAATCGTGATGCGTTATTTGCAGCGATTAACTACCCTGGACAAACCATCGCTTGGATAACTGAACATGGGTTACCTCGGAAATCTGTGGAAGTCCTCTTCCTCTCCATCTTTTACATCATCCCAGTCCTGGTTGTGTCTGGCAGTATGGTTGTGCAAGTTCTGAAAACTACCCGTGTATGCAGGTCTGGTATTGAGGATGAGGATAGACCTCTGATAACTGACTGGGCCTATGTTAACACTACTGTGTGCCTCTTAGCTGCTGTTTTCTTGATTTGTAACAGTGCGACCTCTTTTTACGCCATATATGTGTCAGGGCCGTATTTTAGTCACCATTTTCATGGTCACCACGTTGTTTTGGCAGTGTTTTCTTCTACTCTGCCTCTCTTCAATGCTCTGGTGACTCCATTAATCATAGTTACTAGGAGCACCAATTTGAGAACTCATTTTGTAGAGAGGTTGAGGACTGTTTGTTGTTTTTCTGGCTGAAGAAGGAATGGCCTTGTAGGTTTACAACCTACCAGGACGGTCCAATATATGGAACAGATATTTTACGAGTATCACCCGTTAAGAATGGCCTAGATACCAAGGTCCAATTTAGTGACTGTTAATTTTTTGGGCGTAAAGTTTACGCCGTAAACAATGTGAATATTATAATAATTAAGCTAATAACTAATTTGTAGCTGTACTGGGATGGAGCTAAAATATATAAGTGAAAATGTGGAAATGTTTTATACCTTGATTATTTGTTTAATGTTTTATGATTATATTAGAATCTCTTGTTTAATTGTGTACAGAATAAGAGAAGTCACATGTATGTAATTATAAATAGGCTACAGAATATAATGAAGATAAGCTCAGGAAATTAACAAAACAAAACAGTTTTCTAATTTCCGTGTGGCTGGGGAAACCAGTAATAGTCATAAAATGATACATGCACCCTGGACTTTATCTCAAGTGAAATGTACAAGAGTATGTCAGACAGTAGAGAGGTTTTACTATATTCATTATCTTGTTTTGCTTATCAGTCTGCTAGCTAATTAATCATCGCGCAGAAGTTGATTGGGCGGTGTTTTATAGATACATATACAGCTATACTACAGGTTGCAGCCAATCTCACAGTTGAATTTTTCATCACAGACCTTTTACCTGGAGACCCCAGGCTATTATAATTTTCATAAACTGCGGCAGAATGATAGGCTGAGCGCAGCCCAGTAACGATCCTTATGTCGAGAACCTAAAGTTTCCAGTTTTGTGGGTTGTAGATCCTACTCGACCCTAAGAAGTTGTGTATGATTTTGCCATGCAACAAGGTAACTCTAAGACGTCACATGAGACCAATAAACTACATCACAACAACTGTATGCTAGGACCTCAATCGTGTATTATGCCATCCTTAGTATTGACTGAATATTTGGTCACTGTACAGAAATTTTGAATTTAAGCATGGTTTCTTTTTCAGACGCTGCCCGACCATTCATCTCATCGATAAAGTAATAGTCGGGCCGGCGGAGGGGTGCATGTGAAGCCGAGCAGCATAGTTTAAATGGCCGGGATCGGGTAGCTTAGGAAAAGAATGTCAGATCAAGATCACGCGCATAGTTCAATTAAACCATGCTTATTACGCGCTACTGTTATAAGTTTTCTTGCTTTCGCGCGCTCCATTTTAGTTATTTTGCCACTTCTCAATTTCCGCGTACTAAACACGAATTCTCGTAAAATCCGGTTACTCGAGTATCGAGTGTATTCTTGGTAATCAAAACGGCACCTTTCCTTATGAAGAAATTTTAGAAGTAGGCACACTGTGTATCATTCAGAAGAAATTTATGGTTTTGAGTGAGATCAATGAAACGAGACCGATAAAAATGTCGCCTAGATCCAGCTAGGCGGTTCAAGAAAATTTCACAAAATCTCCTATATAATATCACATAAATGTTTGGAATGTAAATTAAATGTTCAAAATGTCAAAATTACAACACATTATTCATATAGTATGGAATTCGTGTGTTTGCTTTCACATGCGTTCTCGATTGTATAACATAGGAAGTCGATCTACGGTGTGAGGTACAACGGAAATCGTTTCATGCAAAGACAACAATGATAAACACTCAACCTTTCGTATCTAAACCACATTGCACCAACATAGAAATAAATAAATCTCATCAAAAATGCAGTTTTCAAAAACTCTGCTAAAAATGCTCTCAAAATTCTAACTCTTTACCATAGATTATACATCATAGATTGTAATACAAATTTGATCACTTTGTCTTCTGCACAATAATAACAGTAATGATAATTGTTACGAGAATAATGATAAAAGTGACTGATAGACAGCAAAGCCTTTTTCTTCTTGTCTTCTGATAGCGTTCAGCTTTACCCAAGAGACTGGTTCCTTCATCTACTGTTCTATGTGACTCGGCTATGTGAGCTTCTATATTATCTATCTCAGCCCCTGCAAGTATTACAAAATATTATAGGAAATGCAAGTTTATCTGATAACAGAATATTTTATCGGACATTTATCTCTTATTCCTGATTCAGAACTTCACTGATAAGGAGCTTTATTTGTCCCTTGGCTCTAGAAATGAAATATGATACAATAACGATAACATTAGCCCAGAGGAATCGTAAAAAAGGTACCTTGATCATGAACCATGTATCCAATTTGTTTCATGATATCAGCTACGGTCACCATATCATCCTGAAACAAAACAACATCAATTCCAAACTCATTAGGTAAATAAATAAGAACATAAGTTAGTATCAAAAATGAAAAACATGAAGCTGTTAAAATGCACGTCGCCTAAAAGTCAAGTTAAAAATGCCTCATAAAACCTCGATTTTCTTGATATGTTGTTCCCGCTCGAGAATCTCCTGACCGTCCAGCCAACATTCCGAGAGCTGTGCTTGAGGCTCTTCGTCGGGCAATGATCTGCCGCTGTTGTGGCGAGACCGCTTTATTACACCTCGCTCCCGCGATGATATCTGGGAGAAAATAGAGGGTTAGGAATGGGTCAATGGGAGTGCGTTATGAGGGTGAATTATGAGGGTGAGTTATGAGGGTGAGTTATGAGGGTGAGTTATGAGGGTGAGTTTTGAGGGTGAGTTATGAGGGTGAGTTATGAGGGTGAGTTTTGAGGGTGAGTTATGAGGGTGAGTTATGAGGGTGAGTTATGAGGGTGAGTTATGAGGGTGAGTTATAAGGGTGAGTTATGAGGGTGAGTTATGAGGGTGAGTTATGAGGGTGAGTTATGAGGGTGAGTTATGAGGGTGAGTTATGAGGGTGAGTTATGAGGGTGAGTTATGAGGTTGAGTTATGAGGGTGAGTTATGAGGGTGAGTTATAAGGGTGAGTTATGAGGGTGAGTTATGAGGGTGAGTTATGAGGGTGAGTTATGAGGGTGAGTTATGAGGGTGAGTTATGAGGGTGAGTTATGAGGGTGAGTTATGAGGGTGAGTTATGAGGTTGAGTTATGAGGTGAACTACTGGTGATTATATATAAGAAATATGGGTACTGGCTACTGGCTGAACCTAGAATATCCTCTATAACGATGATTGTGGTGAAGTCGAGGAATTCCACAATTAATGGCGACATTCTCTTATTACATAGGATGTGGTATTGAATTAGACTGATCACACACGTTCAAGGCACGTTGATACAGACACGACAAGGTGTATACTGTGCAATATTTAGGTCACCAAATTTTGTATTTATTAGCCTAGCACAAGCAAGGTTCAATACATTTCGTTTTACAAAACATCGTATTTTAGTGCGCACAAGGTACAACCTATAATACACAATGGTATTGTATAGGTACAATACACAAAAGAATTTTCATTTGACTACACTCAGAAATTTAGAACTAGTAAGTTACAGTACAGTGTAAAGATATTACTTGTAAATTTCATGAGAAGTAGTTACACTGTCCAACAGTTTGTAAGTAATACTACAGAATATACAATCGCTATTTCACAACAGTACAGTGTACACACACACACACACAGACAAACACACAATGGTACACGAGGTTAATTTAATGCAATTAAATACTCTATCTGATTTGATCCATGATTTGTGTAGTCCAACAATAATATGTATTAAAATGAGCAGGGTGGGCCTGTAAAGCACACTATTGGGACTATTGTGCAATAAGTGACAAAAGGCGCACGTAGGCAACACGTGGGCAACACGTGGGAAACACGTGGGTAACACGTGGACACCACGTGGGCAGCTGTGTTACTGCTATTAAACCATTTAAGTGAGGACGTATCTCTGTAGAAATGCACTGTACCACATACAGGTGGTCTAGCTGAGAGGTTTATAAACTATTTTATAATAATGTCACAATTCACATACCAAATTGTACTTAAATGATGGCTCATTAGGACAAGGTAATATTAAACATAGCTACATTGATATATAATACTATATAACATCATTGATGAAATAAATAATAAAAAGGAAACGTGATGTTACTGAAACGTCACTTCTTCTGAACATCTCATATGTGTGTATCTAAATAGCTCCCGTTATCCAATATCGAACGAACCTGTTTCTGAAGCTTAGTGTAGTGTAAGACGACGTCGTTGAGCTCCTGTTTGAATCTGCTGGTCTGTATTGCCTCATATTTGGACAACCCCCGCACATAGGATATACTGCTCACCTGAGTGGTTAGCACGTGGTTAACACGTGGTTAACACGTGGTTAGCACGTGGTTAACACGTGGTTAACACGTGGTTAACACGTGGTTAAAACGTGGTTAACACGTGGTTAACACGTGGTTAACACGTGGTTAAAACGTGGTTAACACGTGGTTAACACGTGGTTAACACGTGGTTAACACGTGGTTAACACGTGGTTAGCACGTGGTTAACACGTGGTTAGCACGTGGTTAACACGTGGTTAAAACGTTGCTATGTTGGGCATCAAAATCTGGTTTTGAGTATTTTTTCTGAAGAAAAATTTGACGAGTGAGTTTTAAACATATCATAAAGGGCACAAACTATTGCGACCTGCAATTGCACTGTTGAGCGAATGATATGGCCTTTACTGGGTTTACAAAATCTAGCACAACAATTATTAAATCTGAATTAATAAGCATGTAAACTCACTGATCGCTGACAAATGGACACTCTTCTCTGAAACGTGTGATGGATTTCACTTAGTTTAACCCAAAGCTCTTCTGTATCAGTGACGGTTCCAACTCGTTTGTTCAACTTGTCTACATCCGTCACCAGCAGATTCATCTGAAGACCAGTATTTGTAAAGTGACTAAACATTTCTTTTAAAACTTGTTGAACCAGAAATGTGTTGAATCCAAAATGTTAGACATCAGAATATGCTACTGAAGGTTCTAATGTTAAACCGACAACCGTTTATGATAACAAATGTTAAAAAAGAACTTTAAACAGACTAAAAACCTTTTTGATGTGTTCAGACAGTTCCTCCAAAGAATCCGTTACATTGAGTTTGTTGTACGACAAATCAGACATGTTTTGCGTGGAGGAGGGATGTTCAACAGAAGTCTCTAAAGTATTCTTCCTACTGTACGAAACGATATCGGATAAAGCAATTAAATTGGTACAGTAGTTACAACAACTACGTATGTAATTAAATTGTATGTAATTACGTGTGTAATTAAATTGATCCTGAGAAAACTATAGCAATCAGGATGCATCTCAACGAATTTTGTCATCACAAATTGATAAAGGTTGAAATTCTTACAAAAGTCAGGTTCTAAACAGCAAAATAGCGCAAATGTTTTAACTCTGTCCCTGTAATTGACTTAAAACTTATTTCTACTATCTCCTTTTAACAAATTTCTTAATCACATTTGAGGAATTAAAAGAATGAAATTGAACATTATGTTTTTCGTGTCCTAACATTCTTTATAATAAACCTAGATGAACTACAAATCATGATTTTAATGAAATATGAACAACAGTAAAAGATGCGATTAAAAAATTACGTGAAATGGAAACTGGAGCTAATTGGATTCCTTAAAGTTTATTGGGGAAAAATATTACCATTTTACCTTTCTTATCTCATTATTTTCATTCATCGTAGCAAAATATGATGGAGCAATAAATCAGCCTATTGCAGTGTAATGCTTATATGAACACTTTTTTAATCGTTTTATTTTGCTCATTTCAACTAATCTTTGAGTCAATTCACAATTGTTTTGTAATACAGTCAAACTTTACGACTCCCCAGATTTATCAGACATATTTATTGCAAAAAATAAATATTGTGTACTTAATTTTTTTCCCAAGGAAAAATGTCCATGGAATGAAATGATTTTAATGAAAGTTTTGCTAAAGGATCACAAAGGAACCGAGGTAATAAAATTAACTGAAACATTTACCAGCTACATCTTACTATGTTACTATATATAAAGCAAGACGATATAGGTATATATACAGGGGGGGGCCGGGGGGGGGGGCAAAAGTCAGTACCCATACGTTGGCCTTAATAGCTCAGTCACTGAGTGCCCAATTGAAATAATTCTTTCTAGTATGACTTACTACCACCACTGGTTCGAGGAATTTGTCAAATCGAAAAGATATTCGTGTTCATTTTGATAGTTTGGATAGTCGGATCGAGCCAAATTTTATTGAATGGTGTTTGGCGATTTAAATAACGTTTGTCCTGATAAAATGAGAGTTCTAGCTTCTCAGATGACCGAGATATGAAGCATAACGAGTTTGTTCATTACGTGTGATCAGGTGATTGGGTTGAGGCTAGATCCGCATCATGGGAATCGTGCAGAGAGCCCAATTACGGTGTCGTAATTGGGTAATCATTGAGTACCCAATCAATTTTGCTAACGAGATAAACAAATTGCTTGATAACTTCGTCATTTTAAATCCGTTTCACACCATCTTTTCAGATTATATTCCGGATTAAATGACCTATTGCAATATGTTACAACGGAGTCTCTAACATGTTCACAAACACCAGTATAAGCAATTCAATGTTGATTGGGTGTGGCCCCCAAAAATCGAATTTTCAAATTTTGGTGACGGAATCCTCGAACAAGTAAGGTACAGTATGCCATCTGCAAAGCAACAACTCTCAAATATAAAACACGGAGGTGGTATAAGACCCAACGTATGGGTACTGACTTTTGGCCCCCCCCCCCCCCCCCCTGTACATATATATATATATAATGATGTTTGTTTGGAGAAATCCAGTTTCAAGAGTGCTCCATCCGGGAGGGGAACAACGATTCTACAAAGTTTCATGTAAATATATATATATCTGTTACCATTTTACTGACACCACGACTTCAACTTTAACAAGACTTTCCGCCAAAACCGTGAGAGATATACTTTTGAAACTTTTTTGGCTGTGTCGAATGCTTTTATGGCCTTTTGGTCAGTATATAGAAATACAAAATTGGTCAATGAATAAATAATTTAGGTCCTGAAAAATGGACCCCCAAGTGGTGTCAAAATCACAAATTAAATAAATAACATTGTCTAATGTCTTAATGTTTCTTGACACCACTTTAGAGAAACACAGGTTCCTGCTAGTACAACTAATAAAAGGAGGACCTCTAATGGGAGAAAGAAAAAAGCGGTGGCTTTGGACAAAATGATCAGGTTAAAACCAGAAACATGATACACGGAGATCAGAATAGAGAAGATATGAACAGTAACAATTTGTCAGTTATTCTGACATTTATAGATTTCGAGAAAGCGTTCAACAATTTCAAGATATTGGTAGCCTATGGTATGTCAAGATTTTAGACAGTGAATGTAGAAAAAGCAGAGGAGTGGGGCTTAGGAACACCACCGAATGTACTTTGCGGATGAAATAATTTTAATATCTGAAGACAGAGACAAGGCTCTGGATCAGCAGCAGGGATTTATGGAGCTAGCAGAGGCGGCTCATGGGAGCTGGCTGGCAGTTGTGTCGGGTGTCAAATCGACGGAATGAGGGGGCTTGGGGGCAGGCCCCCTCCCCCAACTACCAATGGCTATTCGCCAATGACTGCATACAATACTACAGCAGAAAGTTAATTGATTAATTAAATTATTTTAACTTAAAAGACAAGATTTCAAATATTACATTGAAGCTAGAAATTAGCATGCATATATACTAACACACGCCCACATGTTTTACACATTACAGTTACACACAGGGCCTGTATGTAATGTGTAACAGGCGACAGAAAACAAAAACAGAAAGTTATAAAATGAGTGAAATAGGACACCACACGCACGCACGATCTCAGCCACGCAGTATGATAGCATATAGTTCAAATTGCATGGTGTCCTGGACACCCTGATCATATATAAATTAACAGTACGTTGATGCGATGATGTGCTTTAGCTTTGTAGCTGTTTACGATTAACTGTGTGCTAAAACTGCGCGGCTGAGTCGTCCAAACGAGGATTGGACACCCTACAACATGATTCCACAAATATCATGCTTGCGCTTACATTCAAACGTTTGAGTAAAATAAAAAGCTTTATAACGAGATTAGATATTTCTGAATACTATTACTATTTCTATTTTCAAGCACCAGCCACCAGATAATCATTTTAGGGTGTCCACAGACGCCTGGACGCCCTAAATAGCCGCCTCTGGAAGCTAGGATCCTGGATCGAGAGCATACTGAATCGCCCTACACAAACTAAAGAATATTTTAGGTCAATAACCTATCAAGACGCGCAACAAGTTTGAAACAAATATTTAACGAGTATCACCTGTCGCGTTAAAGAATATTTGAAAATCCAAACTTTCAAAGAGCTTTAAGATCAGATTTTTCATTGCGGCATACAAATCAGTTCTGCTCGACAGTTCATAAAGCTGGTCACTGAAAAAGACACTAAAAAATGGTTGTAAGGGACATATGCTGTATGATAGACGATAGTGATGATAATCTCATTGAGGGACGAGGTCTGCAATATTACATTGTATGATAGCCTTGCAGGAGATCAGTAATATAAGGAAATCAGTAATATAAGGTGGGACACTGCATCCCATACACCCAAGCTCGTAAATTCATTGGTAGAGCTCATAAGTTCATTTGTAATTGGTTGGCGATCGCACTTGCCGAATGTTGCTTGTCAAAGCAAATACTGCTTGGTCTACCATTTCATCGATTACCTGGGCCACTAGAATGGCTAACATAAATGAAAATTTGGCAGAATGACAGGCTGAACGCAGCCCGGTAACTCAATGACGGAGGAGTACATACAAATTTGTACAGCATGCAATTGCATGCATATTATTACATGGCATGGCATTGCGGACAAAAAGTTCAATTTTTGCTACACACTACAACATGCAAATTTGTTGACCTAAAAATTGAGATGATTAATAATCACTCCACAGTCCACACTCGACTGTCACGCGAATTTTTAACACGTCTTCTATGTGGCTCTTGTATCCAGTGGCGTAACGAAGGGCCCTGCTGACCCTGCTGTGCAGGGGGGCGCCGTCTTAGGGGGGGCGCCAAATCGTCGTTTGAATGTGGGACAATTTCGAAAACTTAACTAAAGTACTAGCAAAACTGCGCGTTTTGCTCTAGATCAAGAAAACAACAATTTCAAGAAAACAACAATTTTATTTAGTATCAATTAAAGCAGACAAAAATATATTTTCTATATATATAACTAGCACGAACTTTAGATCAGATATCTTAGGGGACTTGGAGTAGCAAGAGATTGACTAGAAGGTATATACCTTTTACAAAGATACGTCGAGAAGAATCCAGGGTGATACAGGATCGGAGAGTGCAGACCAAAAGTTTACGCACCCACCTTTGCCTCCTGAGTTCTTGGTTGGATAGAAATTTATGCAAACTTGGTCGTTTATACTCCAAGTCCCTTTCTTAAAAGAAGTAGTATTAACTATGTCTAGAGTTAGCTTCGTTCAATAATAACAATATCAATATAATCAATATCAATACCAGATAAACCTACCGAATAAATTATTAAATATCAATCAATTAATTCATTCCAATAAAAAATTTTATAAATTTAGATATTTAGTATCTAAAAACATTACAACAGATGGTTAAAAAGCGCCCAAAATCGATTTGAAAGATTTTCTGTCTATAGTACAATCATGATAGTAATAGTAAGTGTGCGCCGCTGCAATTAGACTTGATTACTGCAATTTAAAATTGTTTGGAGTCCAAGTATCTTTTAAGTCAGCTGCCTGTGCTTGTATTAATAGTGCTTTTGTTCTCAGTTTTATCAAGCTAATGGACGTTTCTAAGCAATTGCTTGAAGTTAAAATTTTTTTATGAACAGCGTTCCAAAGCTTGGCTGCATTAAACAAAAAGGTATTTGATTTATTTAGGAGAATAACCGTGAGACTCGTTGCACGGTTTGAAATGTTGATAGCCTCATAAAGGGAGTATGGGCAGTGGTACTTGATAATCTTAGAAAATTCTAAGATGCAGTGATATTTGTACAAGTTTTGAGCCGTAAGTATTTTTAATCTATTAAAAATGGGTTTTGTATGTTCCTTTTCAAAGTGTTTACATACACACTTTTCTAGAGATTTTACCGGCGTATCCTCT